AGTGTGTCACGATCGCAATTGCCATATAAGTTACCACCATTAGTTACGAGACATCCCATACTCCTAGAGCCACACCAAAACCCTGGTACACCATTGCATGTGCAATTATCTAAAAATTTAAATTTTCCCATTTAATCACGCATATATAAATAAACAATTTATTGTGCAAAAATTTCGTTGTTTCGTTGCATATATTGTGGTAAATGTTTACAAGAGCTAATATCATATAATACTTATTAATTTATTAATTAAAAACATTTGTTTTATTAAAAACTTTGACATATTACTTGTTATTGTTACTAAATAATAATTGTTTAATAATTACAATCACTATATCAGTGGAAAGAAATCAATTTGAATGTGCAGTATATAGGTTTAAAGCTAAAAAAGATTGATTATGAGTATTGATAACAAGTATAAGTATGCTACATAAGTACAACTTAATAAACTTGTTATCTTTAAACCTATATACTCCACATTCAAATTGTTTTCTATCAACTGATATGCATTTATTACCAAACTCTGCAACTTATACTTTATAGTCTTTTTATATTAATATAATTTATATTAGATAAAATTAAGGTAAAAAATTACACAAGGTAATTTTTCTTACTTGCGCAATTTTGAGTTTGTGAATTGCATTGCCAAAATATTTGCATGATGATCACTGACAAAATTATATACTTAATTTTTGTAGTCATCCTGAATGATAATTATTTGATATAAAGTTAAAAATTAAAATTATGTTTAAAAAACTTCTTACCTTTTATAAATACTCGTTTAAAAAGTTATTAAGTAATAACTAGTACACCACATGTACACCACAATAAACAATAGTTTTAAATGAACTAGTTTAAATTCGAGTCATTTCTAATTATTATATAAAACAGCTATAATGTTATAAAACTATCATTGTTATAACTAAAATAATTTTTGTTATTTTATTATTAATAAAACACCTTAATTGAAAATAAATTCAATAAAAATTTGGTTCAAAATATAATACAAAAGTAAAATGTATTTTAAAATAATAAATGATATATTTTTAAAAAATATATAACGTTTTATTTTTATAAAAAAAACATTTAATATTTAAAATGACTTAAAAATAATGCTAATTATTTTAAAGATAGAATAGATAATAAAATTATAAAGCATTTTACGGGATAATTGAAATTTTAATACTTTTGTTTTCAAAGGCAAAGTTTTTAATGATAAACTTATTGCTAATTTACGTGCATAATACTTTTATTAATTATGTACTTAATTATAATATGCTTAATTACAATTTCTATACAATTATAATTATATTTAATTACAATAATACAAAATGTAGAATCCAATAGTATGGTACTGGTTTAAATTTTAAAAGTTATATATAATAGTTAATTAAGCTTTTAAAACAATATTGTAAATTTAGAGTGACCAGATTAACTACCAATTCCACGGCCACTTTGGCTTAATACTTGATAGGTCTTCGCAACTAGGCTTGTCAGTGTACCACCCGGTTTTGGTACCCTCGATATTCATCTTAAAAGGTACCCCGCAATTGTAAATTGGTACCGTTTCACCCACGTTGATCGCCTTGACATTCTTAAACGTGGCTTCGCCGCCTGTTTGCAATTGTATGGCAAAGGTACCTGTACCATTAATTAATAGATTGTCAAAAGTGACCCCGGACACTTTGCTCTCAATGTACATGATGGCCGCGTATGAGGCGTCGATGATCTCGCAGTCTTTAACTTCAATAGTGGCATTATTTATGTCCCCATTGTGTGCGCTGAACCAAATAGCACCTACGCCAAATTGCCAGTTGAAATCATTGTTACCGGCCCTGAGTGCATAGAAAAAATTGGTTAAAATTGTCTAACTTGCACTTGTGATTTTTAATTCCTTTTCTATGTTTAAGATTGGTTAATGTAAAAAAATACAATATTTACCAAAAAAATTATTACAGTATTAATTTTGATATATTTAAATATTATAGCCTAATGTTTTAATTCATTATTTAATTTTCATTTTTATGCTTGATTTGAATTTTAAAATACTTGAATATAGTATAAGAAAGTCACTGTATAATTAAATGAGAGCTTTGTCAGTTTACCTGAGCATGGTGTTACGGTACACTTTATGATGGCCAAGTACGCCGGTTTCTCCCGATACCCCTGGATACCGGTTCGCGATGTGTATACCACCCCCGTTAGAAATTGTGTCGTACACTAAGTTATCACTCACTTCG